AGCCCCGTGTGCCTTCTGTTGCGTAAAAGGATCTAGCGGTTGTCTTCAACATTCACATTCAGGAGCTGTCTCATTGATTCCGTTCTATTTTATACTCCCCAATGAATGTTGGCTCTTAAAGCTGGAAAATTCCTTCCTCCCTCCCTCCCTCCCTTTCTTCCTTCCTCCACCTTTCTATCTCCTTCTTCCCTTCCTTTCTTCCTCTCAACCCTTCCTTCCTTCCTTCCTTCCTCCCCCTTTCTATCTCCTTCCTTCCTTCGTTCCTTCCTTCGTTCCTTCCTTCCTTCCTATCTCCTTCTTTCCTTCTTTCCTTCCTTCGTTCCTTCCCCTTTCTATCTCCTTCGTTCCTTCCTTCCTTCCTTCCTTCCTTCCTTCCTTCCTTCCTTCCTTCCTTCCTTCCTTCCTTCCTCCCCCTTTCTATCTCCTTCTTTCCTTCCTTCGTTCCTTCCCCTTTCTATCTCCTTCCCTTCCTTTCTTCCTTCCTTCCTTCACCCCCTTTCTAGCTCTTTCTTCCCTTCTTTTCTTCCTCTCGCCCCTTCCTTCCTTCCTTCCTTCCTTCCTTCCGTCGCTCGGACACACGCACAAAAACACACAAACGAACAGACCTAAATTTCTGAAACGGGCAAAAAAGTTTGGCTGACAAAAATTGTGGCTCTTTTTCCTGGCTATTTCTTTGACTTCTATTTCCTTTTATTGTGCCTAGTCTTGTGTATTGTAGTCCGGACTGAAATGAATGTGAAAGATGGCACAACACGTACACCAGGGGTAGTCAACCTTGGCTCTTTTATGACGCGTGGACTTCAACTCCCAGAATTCCTGAGCCAGCATGGCTCCGCTTGGAAACCTCTCCCTTTCCCCTCAGCGTGGCTGGCTCAGGAATTCTGGAAGTTGAAGTCCACGAGTCATAAAAGAGCCAAGGTTGACTACCCCTGACGTACACGCTTAAAAATCAGCTATTGGGACGATTAGCTTCCGTCAGAGGAGTGTTTATTATCCTCAGCAGCTTTATGATGCTGGACTTCAACTCCCAGAATTCCCCAGCCAGCCCTGCTTAAATATTTGAAGACCCAATTTTCTCTTTTAAAAATACTCCAAAGTGTTCAGGCGTCACCACATCTTTGTGAAGCTGATTAGAAATTCCGCTTTTGCACTGAATAAATGTTACTTCTTCTATTGATGCCTCATTTCTTGCAACCCCACCCAAGCTATTTTTTAGATTATTTTTGCCCTATCCTAAATCGATGCAGGATAGAGAGCCGAACAAACGGAACATTGTTCTTCATAAACTGCTTGCTTCACATCCTGAGATTAATGCAAGCCGCTTTCTAACAGGTTTTTTTTGCCACAATATGGACTAGAAACGTCAGATTAAAAAAGGCCTGAGATTTCCAAGACACCGTGCCCTGCATTGAATACACATCACAATTCCCCCTATAACTGACTAACAAGTCTACACAACCCATACCACAAACATAACTGCTACCTTTTCCTGGGATATTTCAAATTCTCCGTCTACTTTATCGTTCTTGGATTTCTTAGTGGTCTCCCATCCACCTAAGCCTCCTTAGGTTGATTAGAAATACACATTGCCTAGTGTCCTTTAGGTGTTTCTCAATTTCAGCAGCTTTAAACTGTGGGGACTTCAACTCCCAGAATTCCTCAGCCAGCATGCTGGCTGGGGAATTCTGGGAGTTGAAGCCTGCACAGCTGAAAGGTGCCAAAGCTGGGAAAAAAAATACAGTTTTTCAGACAATTGATCCAATGCTGCATTTCCTGCCTGGATATTTTTCTATCAACTGGTATATTAGCCTATTTAATAACGTTCAGGGATAATACTCGAGAATGAATTTTCCCTTTAATCTAGAAAAAAGGCCCAGCGAATTTTCCTTAATTTGGGAGTGGGATGCAAAGCCAAACAACCGTTCCAATTTTAGTCAGCCAGCGTGGGCAGGCAGTAATGAGCCAACCACGAACACTAATCAACAGTGATTTTTTCCCCTCTGAAGTTCCTGTGGTTGTAAATCCCAATTTCCCAAAAGTAAAAAATAAAAAATTGACCGTTAACTTGAATTGGCTTAATGCATCAGCAATCCAGGCTAACTATATTGGATGCGTTTCAGAATCTACTCCCCATTTGCTCCACAGATGAATACTATTTTTCTAAGAGCAAGGAGAAAAGCCAGTTTGGGTTTAGTGATTAAGGCATCAGGCTAAAAGCCAGGAGACGGTGAGTTCTAGCCCTGCCTTAGGCGTGAAAGCTGGTTGGGTGAATTTGGGCCAATCGCCAGGAGACGGTGAGTTCTAGTCCTGCCTTAGGCATGAAAGCCGGCTGGGTGACTTTGGGACAATCGCCAGGAGACGGTGAGTTCTAGTCCCACATTGGGAATGAAAGCTGGCTGGGTGACTTTGGGCCAATCACCAGGAGACGGTGAGTTCTAGTCCTGCCTTAGGCGTGAAAGCTGACTGGGTGACTTTGGGACAATCGCCAGGAGACGATGAGTTCTAGTCCTACATTGGGAATGAAAGCTGGCTGGATGACTTTGGGACACTCACCAGGAGACGGTGATTTCTAGTCCCGCCTTAGACCTAAAAGGCAGCTGGGTGACTTTGGGCCAAACACCAGGAGACAGTGAGTTCCAGTCCTGCCTTAGGTATGAAAGCCGGCTGGGTGACTTTGGGCCAGTTACTTCCTCTCAGCCCCGGATGTTAGACTCAGGCGACACGTCAGTCAATCGGATCCTGTCACAACCAATGGACCAATCTTTGATTGCTCTTCAAAACGAGGACCCTGTCCTTGTGGGAAAACCCCCGGCAATAGCAAAACGGTCCCGATACGTTGCGCGACGTCACGTGAAGTCGTGAGTTTGACATGTTTGGTTGGTCCCTTCCAACTTACACATTCTGGAATTCTTGGGGCTGCCTGTCTTTTCTTTAAGATTGGCTTACAGCCCGGTGCCTCAAACCAGGATGAGTGAAAAAGGAACGGTGGCTGGAATTGAGTATGGCGAGTTTAATGAAAAGAAGGACGAGGGGGGACAGGGGCTGCCCCAAAGAAGAGGGAGTCAAGCTATTCTCCAAAGCGCCTGAAGGCAGGACAAGAAGCAACGGGTGGAAACTAACCAAAGAGAGAAGCAACCTGGAACTAAGGAGAAACTTCCTGACAGTTAGAACAATTAACCAGGGGAACAACCTGCCTCCAGAAGCGGTAAATGCTCCAACACTGGAGGTTTTTAAGAAGAGACTGGGCAGCCATTTGTCTGAAATGGTGTAGGGCCGTGGTGGCGAACCTATGGCACGCGTGCCACAGGTGGCACACAGAGCCCTCTCTGTGGGCACGCGCGCCGTCGCCCCAGTCCTAGGCCTTCAGCTGGGTTTTATAAAACCTTTTCGCTTTAGGCCTCCGCCGCCGTGTGCAAAAAAAAAAAAGCTTCAATCAATCAATCAATTTCAACTTCTCGCGGGAAAAAAAAAAGATTTCGCAAAGTTGGAATTGATTGATTGAACTTTTTAGTCCCACCCAGTCTGCCGTTACCACCGCAGCCACGCTCACCGAGTAGGCCACGCCTACCTAGCGGGCCACGCCCACCCAGCACCCGATGATACCTAAGTGGGTTTTGGGTTGCAGTTTGGGCACTCGGTCTCTAAAAGGTTCACCATCGCTGGTGTAGGGTTTCCTGCCTGAGCAGGGGGTTGGACTAGATGACCTCCAAGGTCCCTTCCAACATCATCATTATTATTATTATTATTATTATTATTATTATTATTATTATTATTATTATTATTATTATTATTATTATTATTAAAAAGGGAAGCTGTTCGGAAATACAGGCAGTCCTCGGCTTACAAGAGTTCGCTTAGGGACCGTTCAAACTTACAAAGGCACTGAAAAAAGTGACAGGACCGTTTTTCACCTTTACAAGCCTCCCCGTGGTCACGTGATCAACGCTCGGACGCTTGGCAACTGACTCCTCTTTACGACGGTCGCAGTGTCCCGGTGTGTGTGGGTGTGTGTGTCGCGTGACCCCCTTTTGCGGCCTTCTGTCGAAGCCCGAGTCCGTGCGGGGAGCCCGATTCACCTAACAGCCATGTTCCTGACTTAACAGCTGAGGTGATTCATTTTGCAACGGTGCCAAGAAAGGTCGTGAAACGGGGCAAAATTCACTGAACAAATGTCTGGTTTGGTGAGAGAAATTTTGGGCTCCGCGGCGGTCCTAAAGCGAGGACTCCCTGTATGCATTTTTAGGAACAGATTGCTCAGGATGTGAACTGCAAGTTGGTGGGCCTGGAGAGAACGTGGCTGGATTATTTTGGAAAATATCTGTGGCGAGAGATATTTTTACTGGGAATTTCAGCGCGGCGCTGATTGAAGGAAGCAGGAAATGCAACAGGACAGGAAGAGCTGGGATGGTGGCAATAGGACAGGAAGAGCCGGGGTTCTCCAGACCCGGTCGGACTACAGCTCCCATCAGCCCTGCCCAATCTGCAGGCCCACAACCCACTGAGAACGACACCTTTCCAGTTGTGTGTAATGAAAAGCACATCGAAGGTCCATTTAAAGTCCTCAGAGAGCACCTAGGATCCCACAGTCCTCCTCCTCCTCCTCCTCCTCCTCCTCCTCCTCCTCTCCTCAAATCCTTCTCCCTTCTAGCACTGATGTTACCTAGTTGGGTCATCAAATGTCTGCAAGAAAACCACCAAGCTCAGAGATCACCTAGGATCCCACAGTCCTCCTCCTCCTCCTCCTCCTCCTCCCCCTCCTCCCCCTCCTCTCCACAAACCCTTCTCCCTTCTAGCACTGATGATGTTACCTAGATGGGTCATGAAACGTCTGCAAAAAAACTGCCACGCTGGAAGGCCCAACTGGAGAATGAGAATCTCCATGCTTGATCTCTTCTAAGAAGAATGGTTTCTTCTGAACCAGAGATAAAACATGGCCAGGACACACCACTTGCTCAACCAATCCCGGAAACGTGATGAGGCCGAGGAGGGGTCCCACTTACCGAAAGACAGGACGAAGAAGAACGGCAGCCAGCAGAGAATGAAGACTCCAACCACGATGGCCAACGTCTTGGCTGCCTTCTTCTCCCGGGAGAACTTCAAGAGCCGGACCGAGAGAGAACTTCTGAAAGTATGTCTCTTGGTGCTGGCCACGGAATCCTCCAGGACGTTCCGGCAATGGATCCTGAGCACCACTTCCATGGACTTGTTCCGTTCTTTCTTGACCCCAGCCTCCAGGCTCTTGGTGGTCCNACCACGATGGCCAACGTCTTGGCTGCCTTCTTCTCCCGGGAGAACTTCAAGAGCCGGACCGAGAGAGAACTTCTGAAAGTATGTCTCTTGGTGCTGGCCACGGAATCCTCCAGGACGTTCCGGCAATGGATCCTGAGCACCACTTCCATGGACTTGTTCCGTTCTTTCTTGACCCCAGCCTCCAGGCTCTTGGTGGTCCTCCTGGCCACCACGTAGATGTTGAAGTACATCACCAGGATGACCAAGAGGGGCAGGTAGAAGGAGAAAAGGGACGAGAAGATGGCATAGCCCGGTTCTTCCGTGATGGTGCAGAACTGGTCGCTTTCCGGGGGCTCTTCCTTCCAGCCCAAGAGGGGCCCGATGGAGATGACCATGGAGGAGAGCCAGACCACCCCCAGGATGACGACGGCCTTCTTCTCTGTCATGATGGTGGGGTACTTGAGGGAGTACTTGACCCCAATGTACCGGTCCACCGAGATGATGCAGAGGCTCATGATGGAGGCGGTGCAACACAGGACGTCCACCGCAGCCCAGATGTCGCAGAAGATGCGGCCGAAGACCCAGAGGTCCAGCACCTCCAAGGTGGCCGAGAAGGGCAGGACGGTGGTGCTCAGCAGCAAGTCGGCGATGGCCAGGTTGATGATGAAGTAGTTGGTGACCGTCCTCAGGTGACGGTTGCAGGCCACCGAGAGGATGACCAAGATGTTGCCCACGATGGCCAGGAGGATGAAGATGGCGAGGAAGACCCCGACGCCCACCGACTGCAGGCTCAGTCCCAGGGCCGCCGAGGCGTTGCTACTGCTGCTGCTGCTGTCGGAGTGGACATCTCCTCTGATCCAGGACCCGTTAATCCCACCGAGGTCTCCTGTGCGATTCCCGTTCAAGCTGGCATTAATCCGGTCAGAGAAAGTCATTCTTTTTCAAGACGGCCGAGTCTCCATTGGGGACGGGCTCAGCAGCGCAACGGGGAGAGGGGCTGCCTTGTCAATCCCACGCCCCCCCTACCACATCCTAGCAGGAAGGCTGGAAAATCCCAAAGACCCCTCCCCTTTTTTTAAGCCTATGGAGATAATCCTTCCTTCTCCTTTCTTTCTTTCTTTCTTTCTTTCTTTCTTTCTTTCTTTCTTTCTTTCTTTCTTTCTTTCTTTCTTTCCTTTCTTTCTCTTCCCTTCCTTCCTTCCCTTCCTTCCTTCCTTCCTTCTTTCCTTCCCTTTCTTTCTTTCTTTCTTTCTTTCTTCCCTTCCTTTCTTCCCTTCCTTCCTTCCTTCCTTCTTTCCTTTCCTTCCCTTTCTTTCTTTCTTTCTTTCTTTCTTTCTTTCTTTCTTTCTTTCTTTCTTTCTTTCTTTCTTTCTTTCTTTCCTTTCTTTCTTTCTCTTTCCTTCCTTCCCTTCCTTCCCTTTCTTTCTTTCTTTCTTTCTTTCTTTCTTTCTTTCTTTCTTTCTTTCTTTCTTTCTTTCTTTCTTTCTTTCTTTCTTTCTTTCTTTCTTTCTTTCTTTCTTTCTTTCTTTCTTTCTTTCTTTCTTTCTCACACTATCTCCTGTCCTCTGCAGTTAATTCCTGCGAAGGTCGACTTTGTCCGAACATTTCTCACCACTTTCTCCGTCCCCAGCCACGCATCCCTGGCAGATTTATTCCGCAAAGGAGCTGGATCTCAAGACGTCCGCCTTCCCTTGGCTTCTCCCAACCGATGCGCCTTCAGGCGTCTGTTCTCCTTTCTCTTCAGCTTATAGCAAATCTTAAGGCTAACGCTTCCTCTCCCCCCCCCAGCACTCTTCACCGGAATGTTTGACAGCAGAGCTATTTTGAGAGGCCTTTTACCCTTCCGCGATCTGGGAGAGGGTGAGGAAAAAGAAGGGAAGGAAAAAGGAGAGGAAAGAAGGGAGGAAGGAAAGTCACCAGAGAAAGAAAGGAGAAAGTGGGTGAAATAAGAGAAGGATGGAAGGGAAGAAGGAAAGGAGGGAGGGAGGGAAGACAAGCACAAGAGAAAGAAAGGAGAAAGTGGGTGAAATAATGGAAGAAAGGAAGGAAGGAAGGAAAGAGGAAAAGAAGGGAGGGAGGGAGGAAAGACAAGCACCAGAGAAAGAAAGGAGAAAGTGGGTGAAAATAGAAGGAAGGAAGGAAGGAAGGAAGGGAGGAAGGGAGGGAAGGAAGGACAAGCAGAAGAAAGGATAAAGTGTGGGAAATAAGAGAAGGAAGGAAGGGAAGAAGGGAAGGAAGGAAGGACAAGCACTAGGGAAAGAAAGGATAAAGTGGGTGAAATAATAGAAAGAAGGGAAAAAGGAAGGAAGGAAGGACAAGCACAAGAGAAAGGATAAAGTGGGTGAAATAATAGAGGGAAGGAAGGAAGGAAGGAAGGAAGGACAAGCACAAGAGAAAGAAAGGATAAAGTGGGTGAAATAATAGAGGGAAGGGAAGAAGGAAGGAAGGAAGGAAGGAAGGAAGGACAAGCACAAAAAAAGGATAAAGTACAGGAAATAATAGAAGGAAGGGAAGAAGGAAGGAAGGAAGGAAGGAAGGACAAGCACAAGAGAAAGAAAGGATAAAGTGGGTGAAATAATAGAGGGAAGGGAAGAAGGAAGGAAGGAAGGA